GGAGGAATTACATGGTATGCGACTTCAAAAATTATCATGGTAATGAGCTGGTGTTGTTGGATTCAAGATGTCTGGAAACAGCTACTGAGATTTGGTGCTTTATCAAGGGGTTTGCAACTTCAAAAAGATTACAGCCGGGTAGTTCTGGAGCATCCATATCATAATAGCAAATTTCAAAAAAAAAAAAAAAACCTTTTAAAGTTGATATAGCAAATGTCTTAACATTTTAGTAAATAGAATGCAAAACTTAATTGGTTTTTGTTTTCTCCAAATGCGTGCTCGATGCATCCTAGCCGCATGCTTGCTGTCACTAATTATTTATTAGCAAATAACATAAAGCTTATCTTAACAAATCTTTTGGTATTTAATTCAATTCCTTTCATTTGGTTTCATACTTGTTTGCTTCCAATAGCTAATACATACTTATTTCCTGCAACATAATTACATAATTAATTATTGTCTTCCTATTTGGCAGAAGCCTGAAAAATGTTTTTATTCGGGTTATTTAAGAAATATGAAGGGTAAATAATACAAAACCCTTCCTTTTCATATACATTTTGCATACATGATTAGGAAATTAGATCATGCTCTAGATGATTTACATAAAGAATTGATTTTTTATTCTGTTACTGTCCTGTCATGTAGGGTTGCTTAGTGTGTGATATCATATTCATGCTTGAAGGTTTACTTCTTTTTTTTAATTGATGCCTACTTCAATTTTGATGTCTTCTTTCACTAAATTATATACCTTATGATTCAGATTATATATTAAGATGAAATGTGAATGTATATGTTTGTAGTGGGTAGACGGTGATGAATCTATAAAGACCTTCTATTAAAGTTTAATTATACTTGATCATTACTCGTTTGCCCTTCTGTCTGATATAGTAGATACTTAAGTTAAATCTGCAAGTTTTGGCTCTATTGCTATCTGTAAAGCCTAAAAAAAATATAAATTTACGCTAGAAATTTTTTTTTTTTTTTGTCTGATATGGATACATTTTAATTTCTTTCCGATTATAGCAATGTACTTTTAGTTTGACTCATAATATCACAGCCCATTTTCAATTGATAATGAGATTTTTATTGGCAGCCTTTCAAGTTATTGGTTTGATTGTTAGTTAGAGTAAATCACATTAAAAGCAGCTGATGCAAGAAGTGGCAAGGTACTTCCATTGATTTGATTGTTAGTTTTACACTTATGGTCCTTTAGCTTAGCATTTTTCTTTGGGTTTGGTCCGAAAAGGAATCGGTTAGCAAATTTTATGCTTCCTAACTTTTTTAGTCCCTGATTTCTTAAAATCCAACTATTCGGCTTTTAATTTTTCTTATGACCATTTTGCCCTTGCACCAAATTCATTAATTTTTTTCTAAATTATAAATTATCTTTAAATGTAAGTTTTGTATAATTTTACAATTAAAATGAAATTTTGTACTTGGTCCACCGAGATTTTTTTTTTTTTTTTGGTTATTTTGTTTTTGAGTTTTCTAAATCCACCCAAGTCCAATAAACGATGTCTAATGGGGGGAAGTGTCTTTTTTTTTGCTACATAACACTATAACAGTCGATGACCATTTTACTGAAAATTGGCCGATTGTTTGATAACTATTTTCCATTTAAAGTATAAAGGTCAAAAAGCTATAAGAATATATAATCTATTTGTTACAACTTACAAATAGTGATATAGATTCTTTAATATTTGATATAATAAATACTAATGCAAAATTAGAAACTGCCATGATAAAAGGGCCAATACAATAAGTCATTTGGAATCATCATTGATTATGTAAGACAATTAGGACGATTAATATAAGATCGTATGCATGCACTTGCTATGTATTTAATATAAGATGTCTTTATGAAATTTGTTTGATATAAAATGATAAAATTCTAAAGAATTTCTATAAGAAATAATTTACATAGAAAAATTCTCAAATTTTCATTTTCATGCAATAAGTGGAAATCAGTTTAATTAAAATGGTATATTAATGAACAGTATGTGTATGTATGTGTATATTTTTATAACAATTCACACGTTGCTATTTCTTTCATTTAACCTTTAAAGCATAATACATGTAGTGCTCGCTTATGCTCTCTTTTGCAAGTATGATGACTGATGAGTAGACGTTGTGTTTGCAGGTTATTGATTTTGAGCTCGGTTTCGTTGACCTACTCAAGTTATATATCTTTAATAGCAACCTACATTTTAACTACTTTCCGATTATAGAAATGTACTTTTAGTTTGACTTGTAATATCATCCTACTACTATACCAAGATTTATCGACAACCTTTCAAATTATTGGTTTGATTGTTAGAGTGGATTAGTGGCGAATCTAGGATTCAAACTCACGTGTGTCCCATTATAAAATAAATGAGTCGAAAATTTTGGTTATGAGTCGGTTTGTCAATATACTTTGATCAAGGTGTTTGTTATTCATCGTTTTGTTGTTGGTATCATGATCATACCATAAAGAGCTTCTTTCACCTTTTTATGTAAATTTTTAGCATCATGCCAAAAATAATAAAATAAATAATTACAAATCTATATAAATCATCAAAAACAAATACATATACACTATCAATATATATCTATAATATAAATAAAGCATCTAATTTAAACAAATAATATATATAAAAAATCACTTAAAAAAAAGTATAATAAAACAAGAAGAGTGCCTTTTTTTTGTTTCATTTAAGCTTTATTACGTTATATATGTCGGAAGTATTACTTAGTACAACTTTAGTGAAGTAAATTAAAATGATAATTACATCTCTTCATTATAGAAAACAATAAGAGACATGTGATGCCTGACATATGATCACAAAAGCAATGATAGGTTTAGACTTTAGACTATGACTTTTCTAGTTTGTAGGTAGACTATGCTTTTTTTTTCCTTTAATTGCTTTACAGTCCATATCGACCATATCCACTGCTACAAGAAATTTAACCTTAAGTCCTAAAAGAAAGAAAAGAAAGACTTACCCAAATAAAAATTGAATAGAGGAGAAGCAACGCATGTTTGTGGTTGCAGTGTCGGCGATAGATGGTCCAGTCCGGTCGGATGAAGGTGGGGATGGTATCCGGTACGAGTGGCGAAGCGCAGGTGAGAGACGACCAGTAGTCTAAAACTATTACCCCAAGACATGTTGAAAACAACCTGCGGTCACTGGAGATCGAGACAGTCGGAGTTGTTATTGTCGGCGACACCAAAAAATCAGCGGCGGCCGGAAGGCGGCAATTCGGTTTTTGGAAGTCAAAGGGCACTCGAAAATCATAATTTTTTAGGTTTTTGTTTTCCACTTTACTAATTTCTACCCTTTACAGTTTATAGATCGATCTGAGCTTGCAATATTCTTTCTTATTATATATTTGAAAAATATTTTGTTTACTTAACAAACTCCTAAATTTCTGCTCTTGAATTTTTTTGTAAGTTTTAAAGATTAATAAGAAATTGCGATTGACAAATGTGATAAATCAAATCAAAATATTGTATTATTTATTCTTTTGTGTTACTGTATCCAAGGGTGTCCAGACTTTTTCCCAACAGGTGTCCCATGGAATTTATCGTTATATCTTGTAAATAAAATTTGAGATTTAGGGGTGTCCATGGACACCCTTTATAACACTGTACACTCTTTGAGATTTAGGGGTGTCCATGGACACCCTTTATAACACTGTACACTCGCCCCTGGAGTGGATTAAACTAAAAGCAAGGGACTTCCATTGATTTGATTGTTAGTTGGAGTAAATTACACTTGTGGTCCTTTAGCTTAGCATTTTTCTTTGGGTTTGGTCCGAAAAGGAATTGGTTAGCAAATTTTATGTTTCTTAACTTTTTTAGTCCCTGAATTATTAAAATCCAACTATTCGACTTTTAATTTTTCTTATGACCATTTTGCCCTTAAACCAAAAACAAAAAATTAATATTTTATGGAACATGCAAACAAAGTGCCAAATTCAGGGATAAAAAATGATCATAATCATAGCATGCACAGGTAGGACCAACACTGCTAAACAGGATACCACCTCCAAGTCCATTGGTTTTCAAGGGTGACACCAAAGGATCGGGAAGGCTCAGCAAGGATAGATGCATCATGATACTAGAAAAGTTATTTGATGATACGTTTCAATAAAAAATAATTTTCTTTTGATATATAGGTTGACATTCATGAACAGTTGGATTATGAAATTGCTAAACAAAATATTAAATTGGACCAACAAATTGATGTTAATAATGTTAATACTAATGTGTATATCCAGATAGCAAATCCCCCAAAATATTAGTAGATAAAAATGAAAACGACTTCCAACAGAGATGTGAACAATGTATTGAAATTCCAATCAAACATGTCAATTACAATTACCATATCCCTACCCTATGGGTGCAAAAATGGTGAACATTTCATCAGAAAAAAAAAACAAAAGAATTACTTCTCCATTAGAGGTTGGAGTATTACCCTTGTGCTAATTGGGCCACGAATTTCGTCACAAAAAAAAAACAAAAGAATTACTTGTTAAAGATCATCACTAGCCCAATAGAACAAATATTATCTAGAAGACTTTAGCTTGTTCTAGAATGCTCTAGAAGATTCTAGAACATTATGGAAGACTCCGGAATAAACCGGAAGAGTCTAGAATACTCTAGAACGACATGGAAGACCCTGGAAGGTTATGGATCATTCTAGAAGACACTGGAGCATCCTAGACCTCTCCAGAACATGGAAGAACATTCTAGAAACATAAGAAAGCTTATAGAGTATGTTAGATAGTTCTAGAGTTATCTAGTAAGTAATAAGTGTATACTAGTATCTAGAACTTTCATAAGAAGCCTATAAATAGGTATGGAGCTCATTTGCTCCAAACCATCCAAGAAAGCCTCAAAGAAAGTAAAGTGTATAGTAGTCTCACAAAGTGTAATTTATTCTTAAGTGTCTTAATAAAATTGTTGTTGTTTCCCATATACAGAGTCGTGTTCCACATTACTTCTCCATTAGAGTTTAGAGTATTAACCTTGTGCTAATTGGGCCACGAATTTCTACATGATTTGGGCCAAGTTTTTCATCCGTCAGTATTACCAGGTGGGCTCTTGTTTGCACCACTTGGGCCTCCGATCTCAAAGTCTGGGGTAAGAAAACCGAACCCATATAGGAGGTGTTGCTGATACCATTCGTCGTCGAATGCGGCCTGGAAGTTATAATCGTTGTCCTGTTGCCGTCATTTCCTCCTCCCAGTCCGGAGCCGGCGTTGATATGAAAACCTGCTTGATTTCCGACGCCTTCAATCTCAGATAGCCACGGTGGACGCTGTGCCGGAATTTGTTGACGATATTCGGTTTCACCCTTCTGCAAATCACGGCCAATGCCGTCGTTTCATCCTCCCAGTCCAGAGTCGGCGTTGATATGAAAACCTGCTTGATATCCGACGCCTTCAGACTCAGATACCCACGGTGGACGCTGTGCCAGAATTTGTTGACGATATTCGGTTTCACCCCTGTGCAAATCACGGCCAGTGCCGTCGTTTCCTCCTCCCAGTCCAGATCCGACGTTGATATGAAAACCTGGTGGATTTAGGTGACGTACCAACAAATTGAAATGTTGACGATTTTCAGTTTCATTGATCTGCAAGCGACTGCCGTCATTTGCTCCTCCCAGTCCGGAGCCGGCGTTGATATTTGCCACCTTGATGTTGAAAACCTGCTTGATTTAGGTTCATGCCGCCTTCGGTTTGAGATCCCGACGGTGGAGGTTGTGCAAGATTTTCTGTTTCACCAATACGCAATTGAGAAGAAGTTTGAGATGCTCCTCCACTACAATCAACCACCGCATTGTTCCTTGGTCCTCGTTGGGTATTTCTGTAGATTATAGAAAGCACAAAGCGATTTGGAGATTGCGTTCTGGTCCCATTAAGTACATACTTCGCCATCTGCCATGAGGTATTGGTCGTTGGAGCAGGTGGTAGGCCTTCACGATAATAGAATGAGTTCTTGACACCGATTTCCCCAACCTCATCACGTAGGGTTAGCTTGTGTTTCCATTTCCATTCTCCATTCCCATTTTTCCTAGACCTCCGATAATGGGAGCGGTGGTGGTCTCTTGGTGAGAAAAACAACCATTCGCCCTCAACAATTTGAGGATGGTTCGCTGTTTTCAAAAATGAGTTCAAAAATCCATATTAACCAAATAAAATAGTCAAGAACTCTGTGAAATTACCTGTAACAGATGACGGATGTCCAGAGTAGACATCTGTTTCCAAAATCCTGATATGTAGCGCTTGATCGTTAATTTTCCTCAGAAGACAATCAATGATAAACTCCCTATCTGTAGGGTAGAATCTGTATCCTCTGCGAATGATGATACGGTGATCCTCTGGGAATGATGCTACGATAATATGCATCATCTCTTGCTACTGAAGTGTCAGGTATCCTTGTTGATGTCACCGGCGGTGGTGGTGGCGGTGGGGGTGTTGGTTCTCTGTGACAATGGCAGTCACAAAAACTAGAACAAGAGCAGCAAGTACGAAGGCGATGAGAAGCCATTGTTGTCGTAGGTAAAGAACTAAGAAATGTAGGGTTTATGACCGGAAGTCTGAGGAATTAATAGATTTTGCCGGACAACGATGATTGCCGGTCATGACGCATCAACGGTCACACATCTGTTGTAGGACCCGCACATGTATTGGATTTGTATTTGTATATTGTTAATATTATTAGACGGAATTTCAAAATTATTCGATGTGGTTTTTAGGAATCTCAATTCAAGGAAAATCATTGGTTCTTATTGTTTCAAAAACCGTTAATCCTTTATACTATTCCATTAACTTTTAGATGTTAAATACATGCAAAAACACACTTTTACCCATGTATTTATCTTTTTTGATTTTCTTATTTTTGTTTTTGTGACTTTTAATCATAAAATCGGTTCTTCTTCTTGGGCGTCGACTACCACCGCGCAAACCAACCCCAACGACGCTCAAACCACCTCCGACGTCTAGCCTCATCATGATCTTCCAAAAAGTGGATCAAAAGCCAAGTTTCAAAAAGAAAAAGAAAATCACAATTGAAAGTAGAGATTAAAAATTGGGTTTAATTGTAGATCTAAAAACCAATTTTCAACTATTTGAGACTAGAAAATAGGATCCCAACTCATTGTCAGTCACTTATATCCAAAACCAAAAATAACTCAATATTTTTGTCACACAAATACTACACAAGAACTCAATCAAACAAAATAAAATGATTTTTTATGAGATTTTACAATCCAAAACTAAAAGGAAAACCCTAAATCTAAAAACCAAGAATTGAAAAAACACTACACGTCATCGTTGCAAAGGGGTTGCTAAGGTGGTGGTGATTCTAGTTGGAGACATGGAGGGAACGATAAGAACACGATGGAGTTGGAGTTTCAAAAGTTGAAGACGATTTAGTTGGACATGCAAAAATTGATGACGATGGCGGCCAAACCTACTCAACACAAACAAAAATGATGGAGGTAGGGAGACCATCGTTCCTCCGGCTCGCCTCTTTCTCGTGAGAGGGGCTACGAATCGAGGCGAACTTGAGCTTTTATAATTTAAACGAATCAGTTATTGTAATATATTTTTTAATTAATAGAAAAAATTTCTGAGGTGCCTTCTTCTTTTATTAAAAATAAATTTACTGTCAAATGGCTCTTTTTTTTGTCGGGGGCCTCAAACCGGTTTGTATCGCCCTGTACACCTCTCTATACAGATGCAATGTGTATTATTCACGTACATAGAAAAGAACAAAGTAAAGGATTCAGGACTTACTTCTGATCTGATATGTTTGAAGGAAATGTGAAGAAGGGTACAACTTAAAAAGGTTGTACCATGCCAAGCATCGTGTATTATAGCATCCTACATATTTTTATTTTTTTAATTACTGGATTGTATTTTGGATTCTTCTCTAGAAAGGCATTGTTATTTGGGGGAAAAAAATAAAGTAGCTGATTGATTATAACATTGTATGTAACATCCCAAATTTCGAGTCCAAAAATTTCATTTTAATTAACTGATTATAAAAACATTCATAAGAAAACTACGTAAAAATATATCATTCCGTAAATCAATATATCATGTCTGAAAACCCAAATCATAAAATAGCAACATGTCAGAGTACAATCCCAGAATATCTCAAGTGCGGAACATCAATGCGTGTGTGTATGATGTGCTGCTACCACGCCAACTCCTTCCCCTTCGCTGAAGAGGTACCTGAAACCAAAACTGTAAACCGTAAGCACGAAGCTTAGTGAGTTCCCCCATCGTACCGCACACCATACAATCATATATCATACATACTGCCAGGCAATTCTGGGGTGCCTGACCTACCCGGTACGGCCATTCTGGGGTGCCGACCTACCCGTGTCAAGCCATTCTGGGGTGCTAACCTACCCGTGTCAAGCCATTATGGGGTGCTGACCTACCCGTCGGTCCTAACAACCGACCCTTGGGGACTATTCCACCCCTACTGCTACTATCACATATATCATAACATAAACACACTATCAGACATATCTGGGGTGTCTGAACTACCCTTCGGTCCTAACAACCGAACTTGGAGACTATTCCCCTCCTACTACCACTATCACATATAACATATCGGGCCAGCAAATAAGCATATCATCACATATTGTCAGACATATCTGGGGTGCCTGACCTACCCTTCGGTCCTAACAACCGAACTCTACTACTATCACATATAATATATCATGCCAGCATATAACATATCAGGTAGTAGCAAACCTAGATGATATCACAAATACGATCATCTATCATACAACTCCTACTGGTGGGCCGACATTGTGGTCGTAGACCCACCGCTACTGGAAGATAACTCACCTCGTTCGAGTAGCTGCTGATAATCTGTGCGGGAAATCTCTGTCTGCTGCTGCTCCGGAAATCCTCCGGCTATAATCCCCACAAAACACTCAGTCAGAATCTGATATATACTCTTAGGGTAAAATGACTATTTTACCCCTGACCAAGTCCAAGTCAAAGTCAAAGTCAACTTTCAGTTGACCCGACTCGCCGAGTTGGGCCGCCAACTCGTCGAGTCCCTATCCTTTCATCTGTCCTTCTTCACGCCTCTACTCGTTGAGTTTGGAAACGACTCGACGAGTTCTCCTTCTAAAACAACCCCGAATGAACCTTCATCCGACTCGCCGAGTTGTATGAACAACTCGTCGAGTTCATCTCCATCCTATGAACAAGTCCTGTCCTCGACTCGCCGAGTTGTATGAACAACTCGTCGAGTTCATCTTCAAGAGTTGGGAGATTGCCTTGGACTCGCCGAGTCGGCTCATCCACTTACCGAGTCCTATGAACTCCAGGACTATGGCTTATCCCAATACGTTTGGGTCACTCCCCTGGACCCTCTAAAACCTTTCTGACACTCAACTGGGTCTCTTTGAATCATAACAGAAAAGGGAAGCCTAACCTCGGACTCGCCGAGTCCCAAGAACGACTCGCCGAGTCGATACTGTCCAAGTCTATTTCTTCGATTTCTGGTGTGCAACTCTTGTCTAAATGATAGATCTGGGTCCCTAAACTCGATCTAGCACGTAAAGTTACGAACTTTACGTGCATGCATGGGACTTTGAGCCAAAAAGGCTCTAAACGAAACTCTTAAGTTGCATGGGGGCTTCCATGGGTGCAAAAGCAACCCTTTTCTGCCTTGTAACTCCTTCATGGACCTAGATCCGAAGCCTCAACCCCCAACCATGCTTGCAATCATGGTTGGTTACCAAGAATGGCTTATAAAAGCCCTAAATCTCCCCAAAAAGGGATCTAGCAAATGAACAAGCAAGGTATCAACTTTATACCTTCTGGGAACTGCAAATGATGCACAAACTTGAACTCCCTTGGTCTTCTCTTGATCCCTCTAGGCCCTTCCTTCTTCTTTGTGATCAAAAATCACCAAAAAGCACCACAATTGCCTTAGCTCTTTACACAACGGTTAGGGTTTGCTATGGGGGGTTTCTGGAAGCAATAGGGACGAAGGGTGGTTGGATGAGATGCTTAAATAGGGTGCAAACCCGTAGATTAGGGTTTTGTCCAGTCAGAGTCTACTCGTCGAGTCCAGAAGCCGACTCGACGAGTCCGTCATTTAAATCCTGCATCAAATCCGATTCTACTCGACGAGTTGGGCCTTCAACTCGCCGAGTCCCAGGCCAAAAATGCAAAATACTTAAATAAAATACATACCATGAACCATGTGCTACAAATCTCCCCCACTTATTTTAGACTTCTTCCTCGAAGTCTGCTGCTCATTCCTGTAAAATTTCTCGGTAATGCTCCATCATCTCATCCACCGGCTCCCAAGTCCATTCCGAGCCCTTCCGGTGCTGCCATTGCACCTTCACCAGCTCGACCCTCTTGTTCCTCAGATCCTTCGACTTCCGGTCAAGGATCGCCACAGGCCGCTCAATGTAATTTAGGCTGTCATCAACCTGAATATCCTCTAAGGGCACCACTGCTGAGTCGTCCACCAGGCACTTCCGTAGCTGGGAGACATGGAAAGTGCTATAGATCTGACTGAGTTCGGCTGGCAGATCCAGCCTGTACGTCACCTTGCCTACCCGGGCTAAAACCCTGAACGGTCCAATGTACCTGGGGCCCAACTTGCCCCATTTCCTGAATCGGATGACGCCCTTCCATGACGACACCTTCAGGAGAACCATATCCCCGACCTGGAACTCCAGGTCTGATCGTCGCTTGTCGGCATAACTTTTCTGCCGACTCTGAGCAGTCTGAAGCCTACTCCGGACCTGCTGAATCCTCTCTGTCGTCTTGAGCACCACTTCGGTGCTCCCCATGACCCTCTAGCCAACCTCACCCCAACATATCGGGGTCCTGCATTTCCTCCCGTATAACATCTCGAAGGGAGGACGGTCAATGCTCGCGTGGTAGCTGTTGTTGTACGAGAACTCAGCCAATGGGAGGTAAGTATCCCAACTACCACCGAAGTCTAACACACACACCCGCAGCATATCCTCCAGAGTTTGGATGGTCCGCTCGCTCTGACCATCTGTCTGCGGGTGAAATGCAGTGCTAAAGTGTAGACGAGTACCCAACTCGTCATGGAATTTCTTCCAGAACCTGGAAGTGAACCGTACATCCCTGTCAGAAATCACGGAGACTGGCACTCCATGCCGAGCCACCACCTCCCGGATGTAGATGTCGGCCAGCTTCTCGGCCGATATACTCTCGTGGATCAGTATGAAATGAGCACTCTTGGTCAATCGATCCACGATGACCCATATGGAATCTACTCCCCGCGCGGTCCTGGGAAGTTTGGTGATGAAATCCATGGTAATGTCTTCCCATTTCTACATGGGAATATCTAACGGCTGCATCTTGCCGTGTGGTCTCTGATGCTC